TTTGGCTAGAGTGACTGGCCAGCAGGCCCAGGGATCATCCTGTCTCGGACTCCACAGTATTGGGATCATAGGTACATGTCATTATATCTGGCTTTTTGCTGTGTTTTCTTTGCCTTTATACATAAGTGGAAACTTAGTTGGTATAGAACCGTTGGATCATACTAATTTCTCTTTCGGACAGTAAACATCACTCTGTTATGCTCTGGCATGGACCTTTACTGTAATTTAGGTTGGAACTTGGCTTTTCAGGAATAGCTATTCCTATTACAAGTGACCGGTCTTTTCTGCCTATAGCCCTATAGGATTAGTTACTTAGCTTGTAAAATTCAGTCACCTCCTATCTATAGCAACTGTCAAGTTCTAGTAGCTGTGAGGATAATTATCACAGGAACGGTCCGAGTGTGAAGGTATTTTATCCCCTTCATTAGTTCAGGTCTTGGGTACTAAAAAACTTTGTGAATGACTTTTATTTTGTAAGCATGTGTGAGTGTGTGTAAGACACGATAAAGCAGGCTGAGATGAAGATGGCTGTTGTTCAGTATTAACCCCCAAGTCAAACTGCCATTTGTTCCACTGGGTCTTCTCACAAAACACCACCTCAGCTGAGCTTGTTAACCATTCACCTTCCCCCATAAGAGAGTTCAGTTTGGGTCATGGACCCCTCACCAGAGTATCTAGCTGCCCCATCGACCAGCTGTATGCAATTCTGTCTTACTTCAGTACACAGAAAGTGATCTTGAGGGACAGGCTAGAGGACATAAGGAGCACAGGACTACAAGAGGAGGCTCCGTCAGGGCAGCTACGAAATGCCATTTTTTCCTGCTAGATAAAAACTTTCTATTGTGGTCTTTTGGGGACGGAGCACTCACAGACCTGTATGTAACTTCTCATCCATTGCTTTATAAGTAAGCTCAGTAAAACTCCTTGGTTCCACAGAGTGAACTTTGGTGAAGCTGTACCTGGGTTTGTCAACAGAACCTCGGGCAGAGGAGATGATTCTTCTGTCTCCCTGTGGAAAGGGATTCAAGCAACACTTGGTATGTAGCTGCCAGGATCCAATGGGACTGAAGATGAGTTTAGGAAGGACATTGGTGTCCCCGACATGGGAAATGAGACAAACAACTGAAGGGACACTGTGTGAAGAAGGGTGTGGTAAATTTGAGGACATTTTGACATGGCAGTCTGTCCCTATAGGGCTTGTAGGGGCAGCGGCAGTGGTTTAAAACATGCAGGGGACAGTGAGGCGTTAAGTAAGGGATGATATAGGGACACGGGGCTGATGTCCTCAGTATTGGCCTTGGACTTAGCAGGTAATTGGATAAAAGAGAGGGATAAATGGAGGTGTTGGTCTTCTATTTTTCATGGCTAAGGGGGCCAATAAGGGAAGGGTCCCGAAGGATACCAATAATATAGAGTCTGTTCCAGGACCACAAAGCATGGAATCTTTGGGACAAGGCAGGAAGAATAACCCACAGTGACAGAAGATACATCTCAGGCCTGACCTTTAATGCAGAGAAAAAAAATCTATGGAGGTCTTGGCAATGGTCTGGTGAAGATCATGGTACCAGAACATCCCGCATCAGAGCTGTTGGAGCGAAGGAAAGACTTTCTTACCTTTTTTGGTTTTGTTGAGACAGGGTTGCTTTGTGTGTGTGTGTGTGTGTGTGTGTGTGTGTGTGTATAGCCCTGACTGTTCTGAAACTTGCTCTGTAGACCAGGCTAGCCTTGAACCACCCAGCTAAAGTTTTCTTTTTAGATTTCTTGAAAATTATTTTATATATATGAATGGTTTTGTCTGTGTGTATGTCTGTACATTACATGCATTCCTGATGCCCACGGAGGTGCCACGGGGCCGTGGTGAACATCCATATGGGTGATAGTGATTCAACTTGGGCCCTTTGCAAGAACAAGAGCTTTTAACCGCTGAGCCAACCCTTCTGCACTCACTAAGAAAGACTTTCACACAAATCATGAAGGAGCTCTTCATGGTCTGGCTTTTGAGGCTATGGGGCATGGAGACACATGGGATCAGTTTGGTGTTACAAAAGCAAGAGCTGAGGAATATAGCTGCACTTCCCTCTTTAAGACAAAGGCTACAAGGTAAACTCTGATGGATCTGCTCATATGAGCCATCAGGGACACATGGTTATCTCCAGCTGAGGTGCTCCTGAAATATCGGGAACTCGAAAGCAATATACAGGCAGACACTACTGAGGGAACTGGGTACATGGGAATTGTTATCTGATACCCAATTCACATACCCAGGCAAGATTGTGTTTATGGGAGACCTAAGAAAGAAACCGAGTTAGCAGGGACTTGAAATGGGTAAAGGAACATGGATGGTGCTGCTAAGCCCCTTAGTATGGCAGGATGTTCATGATGCAAGATACATTTCCTTCCGGCAGAGGACTGTGCTAGGCTGGAGGTGGTTAGCCCAGCCAGGGCTTCCCCCGGCATCCACGCGTGGATAGAGACAACAGCTGTGGCTACAGTCATGTGCTGACCCAGGGCCTCTTGGACCCAGGGAACCAGTGGGTGCCACAGGCAACAACAAAGTCTAGTTCTTCCTGACCCTGGGAGGGCCCCAGCAGCTTGAGGCAGTCTCATTGAGTTCACCAGAGTAGGAGACATACAGGAAGTTCCCACAGAAGAGCTCCAGGACAGAGATTTGAATGGCTTGGAGAGAATGACTGGGTATTGTGCAGAGCTAAGTTAGCACCTGCTCTCTGTGCAACTGTATCCAACACTGATCTGTGGAGGAATCAATGGCTGTAAGTGGAAGGAATCTTTCCGTGCTATATTAGACGTCGCTGATGTTTGACTTCTGTATCTTTTTAGTTTCAGCCTTCTGTGATCACTCGACACTTGCTTGAAGCAGATGGCAATAGGCTTTCAGAATGCTGAGTTATCTTTATAACCCACTCTTTATGATGGGATAGTGGGCTCAGGACCGCATCATTGTTCTTCCTGTCCTCTGTATAGAGGTTTCACTACACAGAGATAGCATGATGCTAACCTTTGAGTGGGCATAGTGACTATTTGCCTTCCCTCATGGGAAGAGGAATGGGGTGAAGTGTCATGGGACCCTCAGTTGAGTAGCAGTGAAATAGAAGCCCATTTATTTTCCAAGAATTATAATAAACAATCGGTAGGATAAAATTTTGTTGTTGTTATTGTTGTTTGTCTTTGTTTTGTTTTTGATACAGTTTCCCTGTATAGCGCTCAATGTCTCAGAATTCACCCTGTAGACCAGGCTAGCCTCAGACTTAGATATCTGTCTACCTCTCTGCCTCCCTAGTGCTGGGATTTAAAGGCTATGCCACCATGCCCAGAGGAGAGTCCATGTTTTAAGAAGTCAAATTTGTAGCTTCCTGTGATAGTGTATTATCTTTATAGTATGGTGCTGTTTAGTAGCCATCCGGTTTCTCTTTCTCAATCAATCATTGGACGTTCCCAAAGGCACTTTGGTTCAACCTAGTTAAAGCAAAAGTCACTGCTTTTCCCACTCCTGACTTTTTCTGCCTCTCAGTCCAGTAGTTGCTCTTGCACTATTCCTTAGCTCAGTATGTTTCCAGTTGTCAATGCTTCTTTCTTCTCTTTACCACAATCCCTGGGATTTGTTCCTTCTCCGACATTACCCCAACTCAGCCTCTTCTTACTGGGGACATGGAATGCTGCTGCTGACACAGTGTCTGGTCCCCATCCACACGTCCTCATCCTCCTGTCTTCTCTCTTCTCTCATATAGAGACCCAGAGCCATTCTGAGGCTGAGGTCTTCAAATTCTCCTGGAAGCAAACTGTATTCATAAAACTGCTTGAGCATAAATCTCTAGCATATTTATATATTTTGTAGTCATGTACCTGGATAACTACACATATATTATAAGATAGATACAAATATATATTAGTATGAAATTTAAAGGAAATAAAAAGTGAACACCCCTCCCCACCCCTAGTACTGGGGAGTAAACCCAAGGCCTCTAATAACCTAAGCTAGTGTTCTATGACTGAGCTAGATACCCACTCTGGTTTTTTTATTTAAAATTTTGAGTTTTTAAAGGTCATAAGCTGTTTGTTTTTCTTATAATTGAAAAGCATCTGCTATTTTCAAAACATAGTGGCTTACCAATTTGTGAAGCTTACCAAGTGTAATTCATATATACACTTCTAATTTCAGGTCATTTTTAAAAATGAGTTTTAACTGCCGTTATATCCCAAAAGGATATTCTTAATTACAATTGCCAAATGCACCCAAAGTGCATTACCAAATCCTAACCTTGAATTCCATACAACAGTTATGCAAGGTCTTACTGTACCCAGCCAACAGTGAGCACAGCATGTACACCTGTAATTCCAGAACAGAGGTCTGTTGTTCCGTTGCTTTGTTTGGCAGTGCTGAATTGGAGCCTAGGCAAGCATTTGTCTGCTGAGCTACACCCTCAGCCCTTCCAGCTTTCAATTCACAGCAATGAAGAAAACAAAACAAAAAAAAAAAAAAAAAAAAAAGAGGAGGATTAATTATGGTGTCACTGGCAGCCGTGTTGACAGAAACATCCATTCCCAGAGGCAACTTCAGTTTCTGCAGCATAATACCCCAGTGACACGGGCACCCCTCTTTCAAGCAATAGAGATTACAGAACTTTCTGTCTGATTCAGGTTTATGACATCATGTAGAGAGCAATCCTCGTTGCTGTAAGGGTCCTCTTGTTCTTCGCGTTCTCTGAGTCTGCTGTTCAACCTTCCTCAGTAAGATCCCTTCGGAAAATTCTGTCTCTCCTTAAAGAAGCTTGGCTGGTGTCTGTTTCTTGTGGCTAAGAAAAGATTAACTTTGCATTTCCATTGTGACCGATACAGTAACATAGTGTTAGTTGTCATAAAATTGAACAACAAACCCTTAAAAGAATTCATACCTATAAAGTGGTTTATTAAAACATCATAACTATATTAATATTGTACTTAATGGAGAAAGGCTGAAGGCTTTTCCTTAGAAGAAGGAACAAGGGCTCGCTTTGGCAGCTCATATATGAAAGTTGGAATAAGACAGAGATTATCATGGCCTCTGTGCAAGGATCACATGCAAGTTTGTGAAGCGTTCCATATTTTAAAGTTAGGTGTGGTGGCTTGCTCATCAGTTAGGATACCTAAATGAAGAAAAATAAATGAGTACAAGCCATCCAAATAAGAAAAAGAGCTATAACTTCCTCTATTTGTAGATAACATGGTCTCATCTTTAAATAGACAAGCCTAAGGTATCCACCAAAAATCTAGAATAAGTTGGGCAAAGCTACACAAAACAAGAGATTCATCGGTTGTATTTTAAAAAGAATTCTGCTTTTCAGATAGTATCTTGTTATGTAGCCCAGGCTAGCTTTGAATTCTCAATTCTCCTGTTTTGGCATCTAAAATGCTGGGATCATGTGGTCCCGAGTTCTGCTTCTCCTCTGGCAGGGTGCCTAGGCATTGCTGTTACACTGGCTAGGAGAAGGCAGGGAGGATGGGGAATCCACAGTCTGAGTTTCCCCTCATATATATATATATATATATATATATATATATATATATATATGATATAATTTATATATTATTTTATAACATATTTATATATAGTTGATATAATATTCTATATTATTATTTGCATATGCTATATATTCATAGTTTATTTATATATAAATTCCATATATGTATGTATATGTATACATATATACACATGGATATATAGAATTTATTAGAATTATTTACAGGTTGTGATCCAGCCAATCCAACAATGGCTGCCTATGAACCGATAGTCCAAGAATCCATCATCTGTTCACTCAGTCCTTGAAGCTGGATGTTTCAGCTGGTCTTTAGAATATTGTGGAATCTGAAGTAAAGCCGTAATGCCAGTGAAGGGATGGGCTTGCTAGGGAGGACAAAAGCAAGGTTTCCTTCTTCTATGTCCTTTCTATAGGCTTCCAGAAGAAGGTGTGGCTCAGATTAGAGGTTGTCTTCCCACTTCAATGTGGGTCGAAGGTGTGTCTTCCCACCTCAAAGATCCAGTTGGAAGTGGATCTCACTTCAAATGATTAAGTTAAGCAAAAATCCCTCACAGGTGTGTCCATCCATTTTTGAGTTTTAGTTATTCCAGATGTAGTCCAGTTGACAACCTAAATAGCTATTACACCAGGTGTAATTAGGAAAGGAGCTGAATTTATTTTGAGGCTATGTCTTCCCTAAATTTTTAGTATAAAAGACCTTGAAACATAGGTAGTAGACATTCGTCAGGGTGCTTCTGGGTCCTCATACAGCAAGGTCCAAAATAGGCAACATCACCTTTGCCCTGGGCAGCTGCATTTTAGAACTTTTTCCAGTGTGGTAAAAACACATACAATTTAGACTTTACCTTTCCAACTATGTTTAAGTATATGGATCAGTGATGTTAAGTATGTGTACCTTGTTGTACAAATCTCCCTACCACTCACTTCCCAGATTCTTACCATGCAAAATCGAAAGTTTATTCCTACTAAACAACTCCCCCATCCTCTTGGCCTCCACTCTCCAGACTCTCCACCTCTGTGAATTTAACTACTCCAGATGGATGCCATGTTCTGGGATACGACTAAATTATTTTACTTAGAGTAAACACCCCTCAGGTTCATCCCTGCAGGAACATATGCTAGAATGGTCTTCTCTTTTAGGGCTAATGCTCCACTGTTTGTATCTAACACAGTGTTGTACCTGTCTTTTTACTATTGAGAATAATCACGCTATAAACCCAGATGCATAGATATTCTTTTAAAGCTAAATGATAATTTATATACAATCAAATGTATGGTTTTCTTTCTTCTTGTTTTTAATTTTTTGAGACAAGGTTTCAGGTAGCCAAGGCTGGACTTGAGCTCCTAAGCTTCCTGTCTCTAACTTCCCAGTGCTTATATTACAGGCCTGTGTTGCCATGCCCAACTAAAACCAACGCATGAACACTTTGATGAGCTTTGACACATAGCACATATCTATTGATCAATGTAACTGTCACCCAAATTACACTACAATATATCTAAATTATCCTGGGAGGCTCCTTGTGCCTCTTTTCAGTCAATAGCCCCTCCTAAACAACCACTGTTCTGACTTTTTTTTTTTAAGAATTTTTTATTTTATTTTACATGTGTTGAGCATTCTGTCATTGTCTTCAGACACACCAGAAGAGGGCATCGGATCCCATTACAGATGGTTGTGAGCCACCATGTGGTTGCTGGGAATTGAACTTAGGACCTTTGGAAGATCAGTCAGTGCTCTTAACCTCTGAGTCATCTCTCCAGCCCCATCTCTTTTATACCATGGGTAAGTTATCTTGTTAACTTGATACAAGTGGAATTGCAACAGCATGTACATACTTGCTTGTGTCTGGCTTCTTGGACTCAGTTTAATGTTTTTTTAGATTCAGCTTCATGGTTATATTTCAGTCTTCTTCATTGTACACCATTTTAAAAACTCAGTCTCATTGTGTTGGCATCTAGGTGAAGGATATTACCAATAAACTTAAACGTATGCTTTACTACTGAGCTACATCCCCAAACATTCTTGTAGGTCTTTTTTTTTTTAGGTGTACTTATTTTATTTTTTGGGTATGAATGTTATTCCTGCATGCATGTATGGGCATTGTGTGTGTGCCTGGTGGCATGGGAGGTCAGAAGAGGGGCTAAAAGAGTTTAAAAATATTTATTTTTGCCGGGTGGTGGTGGTGCACGCCTTTAATCCCAGCACTTGGGAGGCAGAGGCAGGCGGATTTCTGAGTTCCAGAGTTTGAGGCTAGCCTGGTCTACAGAGTGAGTTCCAGGACAGCCAGGACCACACAGAGAAACCCTGTCTCGAAAAATCAAAAAATATATATTTATTTTTAAAATTATGTGTGTGCTTGCATATGTACATGCCCACAGAAGTCAAAGGCGTTGGATTCCCAAGAGTTGGAGTTACAGGTAGTTGTGAGCTTGACATGGTTGCTGAGAACTGCACTTGGGACTTCTGCAACAGTGCTATATGCTCCAAATACAAGTTCTGAATACTACATGCTCCAAGTATGAAGCCTTCTCTCCAGGCATCCCCTTTTCTTGTGTGAGAAAGAAGATCTCAGATAGCCAAGGCTAGTGCTGAACTCACTATGTAGTTAAGGATGCTCTTGAACATCTGATCCTGGTGCTTCTATATCCCAGGTTCTAGGATTACCACCATTCAGCACCATGCCTGGATTTATGCAGTATTGGGGCTCAAACCAGGGTTTCATGTATGCTACACAAGCACTCTACCAATTGAATTATAATTTGTGATTCAACCTATGCTCACCTGACCTCTGGTCATTTAATGCTCTCAAAACCTTTTCCATTCTTGAAACAACCACCAGATGTCTTGGAGCATCCTGATAAAGTAGTCCAGTGATTTTTGTTAGCCAGTAAACCATCCCCTTTAGAAAAAGTAATTCTATCTTCTACTGCTACCTTTACTCATCGACAACCGTGGTGGCTACCAGAAATTAAGAAAGAGAAGAATAGCATTTATGATTAGAGAAAAGAGTCACCCAAATTTATGACTTGAAACAAGGGAATGATATGTTGCATAGGTTGGCCTTGAACTCTTGAGCCTTCTGTCTCAGTCTCCTGAGTGCCAGGTTTACAGGTGTGCACCATCACCCTCAGCTCCAGGAACTTTTTTAAAGGAGGGAAAATGTCTGTAGCCGGTCATCCTTTAAGGGAGAAACACAAGAGTGACAGGAATGTTCATCTTTAGTTAGTAAAATTTCAATTCATAGTGTAGAAGGAAGTTATTTTAATTTTAGCATATAGGTAAGAGTTCATGTCATTCTCAAAATAACATTTTATCAAGCTTTTTTTTTTTTTTTTGGCTGAGAAGAGATACCTTCATCTTTTTTTATGGTGTTTGTGGTAGACTGAATAGGTGTGGCTTCTACATATTCATGAGTTTAAATGCTTGGTCCATGGGAAGGGGCAAGATTAGGTGTGGCCTTGTTGGAGAAATTGTGTCACCGCTGGGAAGACTTTGACATATCCTATGCTCAAGCTCTCCCCAGTGTAAGGGGGTGGTTTTGATGCTTTGATCAGGAATTTGCATGTGACCACTGAAGGTCCTGTTCCCCAATTGGTTCTTGATTGGTCAATAAAGATGCCAGCAGCTAATGGTTGGGCAGAATGTCGGGGGGGGGGGGGGGAACTTTCAGTTTCCTGAAGGCAGGCTAGAAGCAGTAGGAGGAAAGGGAAATCTCCATGCTTTGGAAGGAGACAGAGTCAGATGTGAGATCTCGGGTGGAGTGACCATTGGCCACTTCCCCAGGCGGGAGATTAGAAACGAAACTAAGCTGAAGGCAGATGTAGGGTGTTGAGCAAGAAAGTAACTGGGCAACTAAACTAAGGATGGATTTAGAGTGTTGAGAAAGGAGTAAAGGAAAAGGCTTGCTAGAGGCAGGATGCTTAGAAAAGCCCAGCCACTGAAACACATTAGCCTAGGGAGGCTTAGAAAAGCCCAGCTGCTGAGCCATAAGACAGGTTAAAATTGAGCTAAGTGTGTGTGTGTGTGTGTGTGTGTGTGTGTGTGTGTGTCTTTCATCCACAGATCTAAGGGAACCAGGGTGGTGACTGGTAGCATAGTCCACCCAGAGCTTAAAGCAGGGTAGTAGAAACTACATTCTACATTCTATGCTCAAGCTCTGCCCAGTGTGGAATCCAGTCTCCTCCTACTTGCCTTCAGATCAAGATGCAGAACTCTTGGTTCCTCCAGCACCATGTCTGCCTGCATAATGCCATGCTTCCCACCATGATAATAATGGATGGAACTTCTGAAACTCTAAGCCAGCCCCAATTATTTGTTCTCCTTTTGTTGTAAAAGCTGCCTTGGTCATAGTATCTCTTCACAGCAATGGAGCCCTAAGACAGTGAAAGCCTCCAAGGTGCTAATTAATCTGACCCATGTGCTCTTCAGTTCCATATGCCCAAATAGAGATCATGTTTAACCAAGATCTGTTGGGTTAGTTTCTCTGTGGAGGGGAGACCTTGCACGGTACAAGTAAGGACCAAGAAAACGATAAGGACAAGGGGTAGGAAGCAGTGTGGGAAGCTATGT